AAAAGAAATAGAACCGGTGAAAGCTGTGGACCCACCGCGAGCTCCTAAGATGGTCCGTATGGCTAATCTTTGTGTTGTCGGTGGTCATGCTGTAAATGGAGTTGCTGAGATCCATAGTGATATAGTGAAGGAAGATGTTTTCAATGACTTTTACAAGGTATTTCTGTTAGTAGGCTCAATGACAGTTCTTAACTGTAGCTTAAGTTAGCTTCAGCCTTACTGAAGTATTTCTATTTTTAAGCATTTAAATCATTACCTACAATCTTTTATTGCTTACAGATTTGGCCTGACAAATTTCAAAACAAAACTAACGGTGTAACTCCCAGAAGATGGATCCGGTTTTGTAATCCTGCTCTTAGTAATATCATTACAAAATGGGTTGGTACAGATGACTGGGTCCTAAACACGGAAAAGTTGTCAGAATTACGTAAGGTATGAAATATAAACTATTGACGCAACATATTATTATACGTATTCTTCAATGAAATTTGAATGAATTATTTTTCCAGCCTACCTCAGGTATGAAATTTTGGGGGCTCTGGCTACACTAATACGCTTAAACATGGTCTATTTTCTGTTTATGAATTTTCTACTCCGTATATTTTACGCTCTAAAGTTTTGTGGCATGGTCACATGAGTGTGCTTTATAATGTTGACTTAGCTATGAATTACCATGTACAGTTTGCAGATAATGAAGATCTTCAAAGAGAGTGGAGGGAAGCAAAAAGAAGCAACAAGTTAAAGGTTGCTTCGTTCATAAAAGAAAGAACAGGGTATTCAGTCAGCCCCAACTCAATGTTCGATATCCAGGTCATTTCTCTTCTTTAAAAATTTCTACTTCATTGATTCTTGTAGGTTGGTTAATTTGAAATTGTTAGCTGAAATGCCAAATCCATACTACATTTAGACTAACAGCAAAACACTTCAGGTAAAACGCATTCATGAATACAAGAGACAACTCTTGAATATCTTGGGAATTGTTTACCGATACAAGCAGATGAAACAAATGAGCTCAGCAGAAAGAGAAGCAAAGTTTGTTCCTCGGGTATGCATATTTGGAGGAAAAGCTTTTGCCACATATGTGCAAGCTAAAAGGATTGTGAAATTCATAACTGATGTAGGAGCCACCATAAATCATGATTCTGAAATAGGTGATCTGCTGAAGGTATAAATTAGTCATCAGCTTACATTTTGATTTTTTGTTTTTGTTTCATCTATAATATAAGTTTCTCACCAGTTTAATCATACACCCAATAATTTTTTGCATTTCAAATTTTATTTTCTTATTCTTTATAGGTTATATTTGTCCCCGACTACAATGTCACCGTTGCTGAAATGCTAATTCCTGCTAGTGAACTTTCACAACATATCAGGTATTTCAGATTGGCTGCTTGTATCCCAGTATTTTATTTCATTTATTATATTTTTGAGAATACACACAGCCATTGAGAGCTCATTTGGCAAGGTATTTGGCTCAAATGGCTTTAATCTGCTATGCTTTCTACAAGCAAAAAAGCCATTTAAGTCATAAGCTACTGAGTCTTGTTGTTATGTTGATAAGCAGAACATGTCGGATAAGGCTACCATTTGGAACCTGATGTTGCTAGTAAACTTTCCTCCACTAACTCATTGTGTATTTACGTACAAAAAAAACTCAAAAGCTTGAACTAGTGAAATATGAAAAAATATGAAATACAATTGTCAAATATGATTTATTCATTTATTGAATGGCTATCATGTTTCAGATAGAGTGGTGGATAGTTCAGGCATCTAACATTCTACTATTTTTTGCTGTATGAATGCAGTACGGCTGGAATGGAGGCCAGTGGAACCAGCAACATGAAATTTTCTATGAACGGCTGCATCATAATTGGGACTTTGGATGGGGCAAATGTTGAGATAAGGCAAGAGGTGGGTGATGAAAATTTCTTTCTCTTCGGGGCTAAAGCTCATGAGATTGCAGAGCTTCGGAAGGAAAGGGCTGAGGGAAAGGTAAAACCTTCCTACTTTTTTCCTTTTACTTCATCCCTCCGGATTAAGAATACTATTTCAAACCCCTTTTTGTCAAAAAAAAGAAGAGAAGTTTAGTTTAACTACGCGAAGCTATTTTCATTCAATTTCAAAATAATGCAAAAATGAGTCATAGACAACTTACTCGTGAATCATTATGATAAATTTAGTTGATAAAAAATTAAAATTATAAGCATGATTTGTGACAATTAAAGTTACACCTTACCAAAATTAAGTTGTATATTGGTGAAACATGCCTTCTTTTTAGGGATAATTTTGGTAATAGTAGCATTAGTTTTCAGAGCTCCCCATCCCACATGTCTTTTTTCATGGTAAGATTTCAAAGATACACAAAAAATACTCTTATTTCTATTGAGTATGCTTTTACAACTGGGAAAATACTGTGTAATGCAGTTTGTACCTGATGAACGTTTTGAGGAAGTCAAGAAGTTCATAAGGAGCCGTGCCTTTGGCTCAAATAACTATGACGAGCTTATCGGATCTTTGGAGGGAAACGAAGGCTTTGGACGCGCAGACTATTTCCTTGTAGGCAAGGACTTCCCTAGTTACATAGAATGCCAAGAGAAGGTCGATGAAGCATATCGTGACCAAAAGGTTAGTGTTATATTTCATTTTTACTCCATTTTTCTGTCAAGATATCCCTTATCAAAGAAATACTCTCGCCCATCCCAAATTAATTTGCTCACGGAGATTAAGAAAAGTGTTGAAAAGATGTTGAATGGTAAAATGTGAGTGATTAAAATTTGTTTGGAATTCGGAAGAAAGAGGTATTTTTGGCTCAATAGAAAAAGTGGAAAAAATAGTTTGTGACAGACAAAAAGGAAAGTGGGAAATGCTTTTGTGGGACGGAGGGAGTATATACTCATAAATTAACATATAATGTCTCGAGCTACTTCTCATATAAATTCACCTCTTAGAATGGAACCCCAAGTCTAAATATTTTTTCTTTTTAAAAACAATGAATCTGTTGCAGAGATGGACCAGGATGTCAATCATGAATACAGCCGGGAGCTACAAATTCAGCAGTGATCGAACGATTCATGAATATGCTAAGGACATATGGAACATCCAGCCAGTCGTCTTTCCTTAGAAAGAAACAGCCTGGTTTTCTGAGGACCAGTATGTCTTTCATCTCCTTGTTCCATTAAAGCATCCCCTCCATCTGTACCTAGTTTATGTACATGTAGGAGGAGCAAGACAAGACACTGGCATCTATCATCATATAATAAGTCTTCTTGCTCCTTGTACTATATGTTGTGCTTCATCATCATCATCATCATCATAACAAGTCTTCATTGTTCCTTGTACCATATGATGTGTTCATTCATAAGGGCTCTTGCCTTTTTCATAACCTTTTTTTTTCTGTCAATTAAGAGCAAAATAATAATAATTTATATGGTATATAAGTACTACTTTTTATCATGAGTGTGTTCTCATTCAGGCACTTGAGCTGTTTTCTGGATCTACTTAAGGTGTCAGCCTAGGGTCTTTTGATACAGTTTGTAGTCCAGAACTTGTTCACCTATTATCTTTTTCCATGCAAAATCGTCTCTAGCGTTAGCATTTTCAACACATTGAAAACTTATGTGGGTTTCTTCTTTATATAAGTTTGCCTCTGGTTTTAGGAAATACGGGCGATTTTTAGCTAAAATAAAGACCTTTCACTACCTTGTGATCTAGCGACTTCATACCTCTTGCTATTGCTTGAGATCTTTTAGAACCTCTCGACATGCCTCAATGGATAGAGGCGCCCCGACCTCTCATTTTTCTCAAAGAATTTTTCTCCCCAAAAAATTAGCCATTTTCATTCGAACAGCCATTCTAGCAGCTGCCCTGGCTATGCTTGGATCAAAAGTCACGTCCATATAAAAATTACCTTACGTATTAAAATAATGAATTATTTTTTAATAGCTTTTGCAAGAGAAACTTGATGAAATTATTTTATGTATCACTCCCTCCGTCTCAATTTAAACTACTCATTTCATTTTACGGTGTTTAATCAGAATTATTTTCAAATCAGTTTTTATGATAATTGAGGTTGAATTAAAAATAAAATTATATATTTAAAATTATCTAAAAAATTTATAGAACTAGTGAGGATATGATTATATTATTCTATCAAATGATTCATGAAAACAAATAAAGTGAATAAATTTTAACGCTCTAGACAGTAAACAAGTAATTTAAATTTGGACGGGGTGTAATATGTAATGTACTTGTAGGAACAAATTCCATAAAGCAGTGTTTAGAAACTTCCATTTCATTTGAATTCATGCATTTCAATTCTAAAATTTGAAATCTCAAACTTCAAATGACAAGGGAAGGTGCATGGATTTCAAATTAAGCTTTGTTATGAATGAGAAAAATTTGACTCAAATCCAAATTCATAATTTTTAAGTTTTCCAAACATGAAATTCGAGCCAAATCCGGATTTTAAATCTAAATCTATGTTCCCAAATATAGCATAAAGAGTATCTAATACGAGTAATTGGTGATTTTTCATATTTAATCTTTATTTACAAGAGTAGTCCTTGTATCTTTACTTCTTTTCTACGGCTAGTCTTTTGTCAGTCTTGCAAGATTAAAAATGTTACTCCCTCCGTCCCTAAATAAATTACATTTTTTTTCTCTCTCGATAACTTTTGTAGAACTTTTGACGTAGTTTTTTAATATATAATTTTTATATCTTATTGATATACCAATTTGTAAATAAAATGATTTCAAAAAATAAAAATTTTTTCTCCGCAACCCGCAATTTGTAATCAAATTGGGGAGGGATGGAGTATTTCTCACTCATTTCTCTTAATTAAAGCCCTCCTCATCCTTAGCTACCTCTCATAACCCCAAGTCCATGTCTTCATGTGGAGTTAACAATATGCCAAGTACTTCAAAAAAAAAAGAAGCAATATGCTAAGTTTTTTTCTTCCAAAAAACTACTGTAATTGTTTTCAAATGTACTAATCAAATTCATATTTTATCAAATTTTCTTAGCCACAAAAGCACAATTAGCACTCAAGTATGATTTACTGAATTCTTACTAGTACAATATATCAATTGATACATTTCATCATGTATGAGAGTATTTACAGCTTTAATCTCTGCAACAGTTTTTCAGCCTCAATAAATCCACCAAATGGTCCCAGAGATGTGTATTTTAGGCATCTCCATCTGTTTCAATATAATAATAACATCAAAATGGAAGCAAACCATTGACCAGTGCCTAATCTCTGTTTACAACACTGATGTTTTTTTTTTGAATTACAAGAAATTATATTGAAACGGCAATGAGTTGTTATGATCAGTCTCAATAGTCAATACAAATTAATATTGTGGCTAAATTTAGTAGTATAAATCAACAAAACCAATAGCATGCCATGTTCGGAGGCCAAGATGTGTGAGGAAAAGTGTTCACCTTGGAGTGTAGGGAAGTGCTAAGCAGTGAAGATGAAGGTGGTTAACACTGTTCAACGGTGGCTGGTGAAACCCAAACCTGAAACAAAGTGAGTGCAAATTTAGGAGTGTACGCAAGGTACAGATCATATGAGAACGCAGACCACATCTGACCGCGCCAATATGTGGTTTGGTACAATTTCTAATTGTTCTAACAATAAAACTAAATTCCACATAAGTATTGAAACATAACAAACATCAGAGTACCAAAGTACATACAACAAAACAACCAACTAAACTAACTATGCTTGCATTTGATGAGGTATAGGCATGACTTTGGATTTCAAGACCATAATTGGGTTGTTTCCATTTTTAAAGACGATGTGCAGTTTTTTCTACTTTTGCTGTTTGATCTGGTCTGGCAAAGACCATTGCACACTCCTAGCTGTGTCAATCTTTTTCTCTATTGGGCATGATTTGAATGTAAATTCACTGATAGTTATAAAAGTTGTAACCCTGTCTGGCAAGTCTATTGCACAGTCTTTCCATTCCAAAGTCACCTCACAAAGCAAAAACTGTACAAACTAAACGACGAGTTTGGAAACTGAATAAGATATAGTACCTGTATTGTTTGTTGGAAGGTGCATCTCTGCCTAATAGACTCTTCCCGACATCTAGCATGTGGCTAACTACAAAAGTTTGAACATTAGCCAAGGTACAACTCTTGCATTTTTGCTCATATAAAACTTTAATTTTGCTAACGTACAACGCTTTGGAATACTTGGTTTTGGTAAAAAAACACTAATATCAACTAAAAACAAGTCCTTTTTTAGAACATAGATAAGTTTAGGACTTGGACTCTTTTTAAAGACTTGGAGAGTGTTAAAATGTCATGGCAAAATAAAGTTACCCAAGGCATAGTCATCTTGGCATTTGGTAAGATCTTTGACTGTAGGAATGTGCTCTTTTGGAATCACCAAGTAATGCCTGACCCATTAATAGAAAGGTTCAAGAGCCACCTTTTAAAATTTATGCAAAAATATTTAAAGCTTTTAAAGCTTTAAACATACTTGGTATATGTGTATTATATCCAACTTTGCACCCAAGGAGGTTAAATATAACAAAACTGAAGATATCACAACAGAAAAAGTGATATTCTATCCAACTTCCACAAAAGAAAAAAGTGAGCTCGAATTAAAAAAAACATATACTCCGTATTTACACTGCCAGTCTTGGACTATGTACTGATAACAAAATTACACTAATTAATAATGGTAATGAATCTAATGACAATAATAAAGATACAATAGCAAAAGAACAGAAACTTCCAATTGATCATATGACAAACAAAGATGAGCCGCTCTATAACAAACAACTCAAAACTCTCCCCGCAAGTGAGGTTTAAATGTTTTTTCATACCAAACAGGCGGGTATTCTCAGATTGCTTTCGACAAAAGTTTTCTTGACATCAACCAGTAGTTACCAGTAGCCTACCTTACAATATACAGAGTACATAACGGCTACTCGGTATTAGCTAATATGAATCCAAATGAACTGTGTGATAGCTGTTAAAGAAAAAAAATTGGCCTGACTCACTCCAAAAGAACTCTCATGAAGTAGAATAACTCCAACACTCCTCTTTGTGTTTTCCATAGGTGCCCCATTATCATGACTATGAGTCATGTCATAGAGTCAGATTAAATGACTTTGATACCATGCAGAGAATAGATATTTGGCGCCCCAAAAGAGCTCTCAT